AACTATTTTTTGACAGCGAGGCTGAATGAGAATATTTAGAGTGGTACATTCCATAACTGTTGACATTTAGCATTGTTGGATGGGTTTCCTCACATAATCAACAAATCAGCAAATCAAGTTCCTTAAATTATGCACCCACGCGATGAACAAAGGAAATACAATAAAATTTGACATTTAATGTACCTCGCGTGAGTTAGCAGCCACAGTTTTGATCAGGTATAATTTTCCTGAAACCACTAGACCTGCCAAGACAACTGCGAGAGTTTAAAAAGACTCTTAAATTAAATATAAAAATCTGAAGCCAAAATAGCAAAGCTTACTATAGCACAATAAACGTACCTATGCCCACGAAGTATTTCGCACGCAAAAAGGTATGGACACCACGAACATATGCGTTGCCTGTAAAGGGGAGGAGGAAGCGGTAACTCCCAAGTTTTCCCCTCCTCTACTCCCCCTATTGATTCTTCTGGAAATGCGAGGCGTCTCAACGACGCTGCAAGATGATTTCGAGTCTGAATTAGACCTCGGAAACTGCTAGCCTGCGGCTTAACAAGATCTGAAGGGTAAGATTGGTCCGTCTGGCGAAGGTAGACAAGCCAACCGTAGTTGGCGACATTGGTGACCCGATTTGCATGACGGTCAGCAAGCATGAGGAGATAGAGGAGAACCTACAAAGAGGTTAGAGAAGATGTAACTTGAGCATTGCATGAATAAAATCACAGAAGAGAATTAAACCTGGCCTTGGTGCTCGTAAGAGAAAGATGGTTTTCCCGTCTTCAACTCCAAAGGAATGAGAGAGGGTGGCGTTTGTGAATCGGTGGAGCAAACAACGGTCATATCAATCTTCCCCTTCACACCAAATCTACAAGGCAGAATCGAAACAACATGCGAATCCTCTGTCACTCTATTAGTCGCCAAGCGTGAAATTTCAGTGTTTTCTAGCATTTGACATCTTAATTGCTCTAAATGTTGTCAACGTTCGATGGCTTCAACTTTTATTATGAACCAGTCTTGATGAGTTAGTAGTGTTTCAAACAAAATAATCATTATGATATAATAGATGCAACTGCTTGGGCGAACTGTTAACTTGGCAAGACCGTAATCACTAGTGACGAATGCCCATTGGAACCTTCGTGAACAATGCCATCGTTAGCAAATTGACCACAGTCGGGATGTGTTACTATCATCCGTGTTCAAATGTCCTTGCCTTTTCTATTTAATTAACTTCCTTTAAACAAGATGTGTCGAAGTCGTCGGTAATGACTAGGGTTACTTCCTAAGATTACCCCATTAAAAGATGGAGGTGGCCTGAGAACAAGGAGTTGAATGATAATAACAGTTTATACAACTGGTTTCAGCCATGATTCAAGCTGGACTGGGCTTTAAATTAAAAAAAAAAAATTGTCAGATCCGAACTGACCCCGGATGCCCCTATTTTGGCAATGACATCTGTTGGGATGTTCAACCGAGGAAACAATTTTTTCCCCACTTTCGACTGCCCTATGGTGTAGCTGATGACCTCTGACCTTCGGAATGTTGGTGTTAAATCTTCTAAGCTACAAACCAACCCTATTTGGGTTGGTTACAAGTCAAATAGTGTCTCGGAATGAATGTATAGGTGATAAAGTGATTCAAACCAGATTAAATTACTTCAAGTGTTCTAAAATTTAGGGAAATTTTGATGGATTTCATTGAAAATTTCAAGGCGATGAGCAGTAAAGGGGAAAGCAGTCGTCTTTAAGCCCTCTGGGTGTGTCGATTGACCCGAATGGAGTTTACAAATTAGTCCGGCTGACATGACTGCCACCAGTCAAGTTCAACACTAACAAATACAGATCGTCAGTCGGCAGACAAAAACCGGTTTTGCTCAAACAACGAGCCAAGTCCTCCGCACAAATAACGTTGCTACATATTTTCTACGCTAAACCATGTCTTACCAGCCATGGAAAAAACATTCACAAAAATTTATACTAAAAATTTCCAGACAGTCTAACCACAACTTGGTTTCCGAAATGCCTATCTGGTGATCTTGTCTGCTTGAAGAGGCAAGGGTTTTTTCACGTTCCAATCTCATGTTTTGAGTGATTAAACGCAAAAAAGTAGAGCAAAAATTCTCATACTTGGTACACCAAATATTCTCCTCAACGTCGAAGACTTCCTTTATCATCGGCTTGTTGACAACGTCAAGCTTGGAGTATGAGGCGCTAAAAGGAGAAGAAAATTGTGTAGTCTTATCACCATTTTTGGTCATGTATTTGACCCAGTGAATCTTTCCCGGTAATCCCCCATATTACGTCTCCAATGCCAGTGGGAAGTAGATTTGCGCACACCGTCGTAGACATTTCATGCGATTACGATAAATCAGCCTGTAAACTCGCATGCGTTACGACGATTTTAGGGTATAGGTCACATGGTATAGGGACGATACCAGCGAACAAATCCACTCCCCGAGACTAATGCAACTGATTCCGCTATAAATTTGAGCAGCTAACACAAATAACCAAATTAGCGAAACTCACAAAAATAGCCGCCAAAGTTGCGTTGAACTTTGGCAATTCCCTTGTAGGACAAGGCCTAAACGAACCTCAACAGATGCTCAGAATAACTATGAAATTGTCAATTCAGACTACAAGAAAAAAGTACTATAAATCAACGAGTGGAAGGCATTAGAACGACAAAAAAATTTCAAGAATGAGTGATAACATGACATAGCTGAGGCATTACATTAACTTGTTCATCTACTCAAATGCTTCCATTTGAAAATGATTGGCACAAGGAATGCGATGAGTTAGAAAATTGGCAGTCTTCAATGAACCATATTGAAAAGTCAAAAAGCGAGTTATATTTCCGAGTATATTCGAAAAGTTGTGGATAAATTGATGCACCACAACCTTGCTTGCCCTCCCACCATGAA